AGAGAGAGCACTTATAGAGTGAGAGAGAGAGAGAGAGAGCACTTAAAGAGTTAGAGCCTTTAATTTCAAAATATTTTATATAACATTTTTTTCATTTACTTTCTAATGTATTTTCTATGAGAAATGAAAAAATGGGAACTATTTTTGCAAAGTTAAATTACGCAGTTATCATGGTTAATTTATATGGCATATAGTATATTTTTAAAAACCGGTATGTTGAGGCTATAAATCCCTGAAGAGAGATTAGGGATTGGATTATCGGTTCAAGAGATAATCCATTTCCCCCACGGTAGATAGTTAGTACGAGGAGTGTATATTAAAATTACTTGATTTGGCAATGTTGTTTTTTAAAATGTTTAATTTATCAGGCAGTATTTGGTGAAGTTTTGACATGCATATCGTAAATACAGTATGAGTTGATGAATCGCTAGGGGATAGGAACCGGGAGTTAGTAGTTGTCTCGTATGCGAAGTATAGTTCACTTATTTTATACGTTTGATACATACATCCCGTGAAACATATCATATACGACAGCATAGCATACATGGTTTTCAATGATATTTTCATTTTTAAAATTTAACTATTTTATTAATATTTATCCGTATAAATGCTTTTGTACAGTTTTCAATACATACAACACAGTAGTTATACTCTGATAATACTTAATACCTTATAATCCTGGTATCTGTATAAATAATTAAGGGCGGTGCGACATTTAATAAATATCGATAAAATGCAATTATAATATATACTAACATTATGTTTACTAGTTATATGAATCTATACCACCCTGTATACAAATAAAATATAAGATTATTGACAATTGTTAATATAATTAGTGTAATATTTCTATAAATAAACCCAAAATATAAACATTTTAATGAAAAATGTTTTATGTTTATTGAGGTATATAATCAATAATATTTCATTAATAATTAATTAAGATTGTACTGGTACATTAACTATTATATTTAAAATAAGTTCTAGTACGATATACATTATTAATTAAAAATATCAAATAATCAAAATAGTTAATATTTTAGATAATTTTAACCTTCATTGTAAATCAATTTAAGGAACAGATAGCTAAATAGGTCTGGCTAAATAAATGTTTAGTAAATATTTGACACATAATTGGCATTAAAATAATTATTATATTTTTAATTGAATATTAATATTTATAGATTAATGAAATAAATCATCGGCATCAATTTATTATAATTTAATCATATTTATTGCAAAAATCATTCATAGATTTGGCACTAAATTAAACTAAATATACATTAAAATTATAATTTACACTGGTAATATAAAATACAACTAATTTATACAATTAAAAATCATTTATATATTTAAATAAATTATATTAAAAACAATTAAATCAATACAAGTCTACAAAATCTAGTTATAAATCAAATCAAATAAATAAAATTTAGTCGACACAAAGTTGCTAGATCATTGTCAAAAAACAAAAAAAATATTAGCATGGAGATTGTTTTTATTAATTATCACTCATTATGTTCAATGGTATATGAATTGCGACATAAACTTCAAATCAAATCATGAAAATTGTTATAAAAAAAGACACAAAAAGTTTTGAAAAGTTTTTTCTAATGTCTTATAAATAGCACTCTCGAGGGGAACGGGAGGTGATGGACAGGTATATAACATGACAATCGGCCGGTTATGTCGTCTCGTGTTTTATTTCGACACCTTTTGAATCGTTGGCCGAGTTTTGATGATTAGAGGGAACGGTATCCGAGTTGATGGTCAACGGGTTGGTACGGCTCAAGAAGTTCATACGTATGGAACCTCTGGGAGTGAGTCGACCCCTAATCTGGTGGACCAACTGCCGGGCGGTGGCCGTCGAGTAAGAGGGCGGGGCTCGTACTTAGGGGGCGGGTCGTCGGCCACGTAGCCAGTGTTTAGTGAGCCCTCAGCGCCGGTATCCGATATAAACGACGTGAGTGTCGGACAAAATAAGGCCTAAAATCGGGTATAAATTCGAAATTAATTTTTGGGTCAAAAAATTTGGAAAAAGCTTTCAAACATTTAAACTACAATTGATTAACACATTGTGGGTGTACGTACTGAATGAATATACAGTATATACCGTATATACACACACTGTTTAATTGCTAGTAATTAATATATGTGTAGATACTGAATGAAAGTCCCCTCAAATAAACACTAATAATAATTAATATAAAAAATAAATCATTCAAAAAATTAATTAAATGCTAGCTATGTATAAATGACCAACAAATGTATAGTATCACTACATTATGGGGACATTCATATCGTACGTATGTATATATCCAGCAGATCCACACTCTTAACGGCAACAGTGTTTCACTCATTACTTGAATCCTCTCGTGGAAGAGTCCTGAAGATTGTTTGGGATATAAATAAATGACGAGTTGAACGGATCCCACGAAGAATACCAGAAACAGTGGTGTGATCTGAAACACAGTGGACAGGGATTTGGTCCAATCGGGCCAATACGGGTAGAAAGTGACCGCTTGGGTTCACGTCAGGCCACCGGCGCTATGGGAACGCGTGAACGCGATCGACAGTATCTGATAAAAGGAAACGGTATGAGTGATTGGTGTGGGATAGGTATGTATGTCTATGCAAACCATTGTGGCGATCGGCATAATCAGGTTCCATTGGAAGGTCAGTATCGGCAATAGCCAACTACGGGTGCTCTCATCCCTGGCCAGCATCGAGACTAAATTTTCAGTGCCCACGGGACGGCCTATTTGTCCAGGTATCAAATTTTAATAATTAATTTGTTACTCAAATAATATGTGAAAAACATTTTTGTATAGAAATCTAAAGTTTTAAGACTTCGGTCGCAAATTAGACTAAAACTAATTGTTTGTATAATGAGTTGATTAGGTGTTCATACCTCGGATGATGAGCACCGATATCTGGAGCAATAGGTACAGCAGTTCTAACCACCAAAGAGATCCGATACAGTAGTCCAAGAAGTATATGACAAATATGCCGGCCTATGGGTGACAGAGACAATGGATTCAGTATGAAAAATGACTTAATTATGGGAACGGTATGCATATATTCAGGTCATTAATAGCTGCCTATTGTGTCGATTGAATAGCAAAAACTAAAACAATATATAATTAAAGTGTATATAAAATATATTCATTTATTGTGTGTATAAGTGTTGAGCCCTTGATATACATATCGCGAAGAATTCAAATAAAGTATAAATTTTACATTGCATGGAAATTTGCACTCATAAACGTATTCATAAAAACTTAAAAACTTGTTTTAATTATAAAAGTTTTAGTGAATTTTATTCATAACGAATGGTATTTTTCAAATAAACATTAAATCAATAGTCAATCGCTCCGCCATTCCTGGCAATACACATCTCAACACGAGTTTTCATAGAATCAATACAAAGGGTTATAAAATCAATATCAATATTGAATGACAGTTAGAATTGTATTTAAAAGGCCGTTCACTTCCCGGCGCTCTTTTAATACCAATATTGCGTTTCAACCTGTTTTTCACATTAAATACTGTCCTACGAGAAGCACCTGACCTTTTAATCAAGTCATTCATGTTTTGAACACCGATTTCTAACAATGTTTGAACCTTTAATCGCTTTCTATACTCAATTGAAGACATTTGACACCAAAAGATCAAATAAGTCTTTGGATTTAATCGAGAATCGAACGAAAGACATATCACTCTTAAGCGTGAAATAAGCTTTAAATTGATATATAAGTCGATATATTCGGTATTAACCACAAGAAGTATTTTAATGATAATCTTATGTCATAAGAGTGCATATCCATGCAATATACTTTATATCTGTCATATAATTATATATATATATATTCGCTCTAATCGTTACCTCAGTGACAGATAATGTCAATACGATTATCACGATTACCGATATGCGTGCCATTTCTGTGTGTGTTTGTGTCATATATTTGTCATCAATCTCTGGAGCGCTACAGTCTTGAACTTTTATTTTTGCTTAACACCTTTTTTTGTCATCGTCCATACTTTTACTACATTTTCTATTAACGGGTTAATATCGCCCGGTTTTTGGAGCATGCAATTCTGTATCCGGTCGTGGCATGACCCTGACACAGGGTGTGACTGCGTTTGCGTGCTGGTGCGCTGTACGGTGTTACTGAATGTCAGTACGATTAACATGATTTCCGATTGGTATAGCATTTCTGTGTTCGAATGAGCAATGTTACCGTTGCGTATCTGTTAGGTATTTACGAAACCAGTGGGTGAACCTGAGACCCCGAATCCATTCACTAAATTAAGTACAATCCCTTAATAAGAATTAATTACTATGAACCATCCAGGATATTATATTAGGTTTGATTTAAAAGTTACTTGTGATAACAATTAATTAAATTAAATAATTTTAAATATATTATTTGCATTAAATAAACTTAAATGTTAATTATTTAAATTAAATTGTTCTCTTGGTTAACTAATTATGCACTGAATTAACAATTGTGCACTGAAATAACTAGACTGTGAAATATATTAAAAATTTATAACTAAATTAACTAATTATTGAGGTTAACTTTCATTCAGTGCACAATTAAGTGCATTCATTCAGTGCATTAATTATTTTATTTAATTAATGGCTAATATTATTATAATTATTTTTATAAACAAACCTCAAAAGTCATATTGTATCCTTGATGGTTCATAGTATTTAGTACTTATTAAGGGATTGTACTTAATTTAGTTAAGGTATTAGGGGTTTCTGAGGTGAACTCTGCTTTCATAGACTGGTGGGTCGCGTAAAAGCAGAGTTCATGTACTTGTTTCGTAATTTATAATGAATTTTACAAACTTGAATCAAATAATTTTGACTTTCAATTGTGATTACAATTATGGCTGCCAAGTATTAATTAAAATACTGTATAAATGTGGAACAATATGGGAAATGTTACTTTAAAAATTCAATTTATAGTGTATGAATTATCAATAGAAAATTATTATTAATATATACTATGATCAGTATATTCTGTAATTTATTCACAGTATTTTTCCCATACTAATGATATGATTTTACTGATTTTCAGGTTATATTATAATCCCCAAAATATAACGCCCATAATTAATTATAAATAGGTATTAAACACTCATTTCATATAATATTGCAAATATAAATATTGGTATATAAAGACAGGAACTTAATTTAATAGATTTGAGTGAATATATCAATTAATTTTATTATACAGTAATACTGTACTAATAATTATTCATTCATTGTAGCGTGTTAACTGTTTCCAAATGTATAATTGGCCAAGCTGTATTTATTGGAATAATACGATTTCTATTGCGAATATAATCCCGTACTTTTAATACGTAATTGACATGGCTTGTACTGCAATTAATGATAATTGGGTTTACAAATAGTTGTACAAATTGTTGAGCATATTTCTTAAATTCAAATTTCATGAGTATTTCTCTTAAACTTTTCGTGAATATAATTATACAGAACCCAAACCATAAGCTTATAACACTTGCCGCTAGACTCAAGTACTCCTCGAAAGACATTTTGAGTGTTATTTCGTATTTGACTGTAGACTCGAATGGAAACATAATATAAATTACACAATAATCGTCTAAATTGAATCGAGCATAATCCTGGTATATCGTGTAATGATATTGATTACAGTCGATCCGGGTTTTGCATTTCGGGTTACATTCGCTGAAATGTTCGAAATTTTCATTTTGGGCGAAAAGCAGGTTATCTTGGTCGTATTTGGAAAATCTTTTATTACCTTTATCAAATAACATATAACTCAAATATGTCAATTGCATTTCGGGTTACATTCGCTGAAATGTTCGAAATTTTCATTTTGGGCGAAAAGCAGGTTATCTTGGTCGTATTTGGAAAATCTTTTATTACCTTTATCAAATAACATATAACTCAAATATGTCAAATTATTTTTGGCGGCATGTAATTTCTCTCTACATCGTTCTTGGCATTCAAGAACATCCATGCCATCATCAATGCAATGCATAGCATTCCGTGTTTGACCAAGGTTGTATTTTGTAATGGATTGTTTATATCCAAATAGAAATTGGTCATTTTTTCTGGCTTCAAATGATTTATAATTTAACAAGTTCATTTGCATGCTGCTATGACGACGATATTTTGAATGAGTATAAACGAGTATTTTTTGGGATGCATCAGCATGCATATTTTTATTTTTGAAACCGCCAATGGGAATTGATATATGTAGTGAATACAAATTGTCATCGCTAAAGTTATGGCCATGTGGATTTATCGTTATACACCGATAGATATTACTGACAGAATCTTGATAAAATTTGTTTGTTAACAATTTTCCTACCTTTATCACTAAAAAAGTAAGTTTTAAAGAATTTCTCTGGTGGTATAAATGAGTCAAATTGAGCGCCAATCGGAAATTTATTGAATTCGTCAAATAAACTTGGTCGTTTATCTGAATCTAAATTGAATGTAAATTATGTGAGTTACAAAACTAACTATAAATTACAGTCATTTCAACACAATTCAGTACTCAATATTAGTGCAAATTTTTATATAAATAACAGCACTTTCATAAACATTTGAGACCTGAAAGGTATTGAAAATTACTAAAGATATTAAAATTACTTGATTTGGCAATGTTGTTTTTTAAAATTTTTAATTTCTCAGGCAGTATTTGGTCAAGTTTTGGTAAACATATTGTAAATACAGTTTGAGTTGATGAATCGCTTCGTGATAAGGACCGGAGATTAGTAGTTGTCTCGTATGCGAAGTATAGTTCACTTATTTTATACGTTTGATACATACATCCCATCAAACATATCATATACGACACCATAGTATACATAGTTTTCAATGATATTTTCATTTTTAAAATTTAAATATTTTATTAATATTATCCGTATAAATGCTTTTGTACAGTTTTCAATACATACAACACAGTAGTTATACTCTGATAACACTTAATACCTTATAATCCTGGTATCTCTGTATAAATAATTAAGGGCGGTGCGACATTTAATAAATATCGATAAAATGCAATTATAATATATACTTTCATTATGTTAACTAGTTATATGAACCCAAACAGCCCTGTATACAAATAAAATATTACATTATTGACAATTGTTATTATAATTAGTGTAATATTTAAAATAAATACACCCAAAATATAAACATTTTCATGAAAAATGTTTTATGTTTATTGAGTAATATAATCAATAATATTTCATTAAAAATTAATTAAGGTTGTACGTTTATTATTATATTTAAAATAAGTTCAAGAACAATATATAAACGCGGTCAATAAAAAATGGGATGGGATAACTCACTTATTAAGTATAGCAACAATTTATACTCTGGCACACTTAAAGTTCATTATGAGGTAGCCATGATAAAACAAGGATATTCTGTGATATTGGATGATATGCTGGACCCATAGTCAGCGCAAAGAATGCTAATGCTAAAATTATATGAAGTAAAGGTATGGTAGAGGGGATACTATATTTCAATAATATCAAAAAATAATTAAAAATATATCGCATGCCTTCTTACAGTTTATCTTTGAAAATAGTCAATCTTGCCATAGAGTCCCATGTGTTTGGAAAATAAAATAAAATATTTGAAAATGTTTTGTACCTATCATAAGCCCTAATAAATTCTAATATGTATAGAACAAAAAATTGTTTAAAAATTTTAAGTTTTAGGGGTTTATTAGGAGTTTTTAAAATGAATAAAAAGGGAAAGTAATGCACTTTTTGGATTTATAAAACAATTTGGAAAACCTGTAAATGTTAATATTTAGATTTTTTGGGCCGACCCCTTTGTGCACTTTTCCACTCCTTCACGACACTACGTATAAACCGGCGACTGTCGGATAATTTTGTGAAAAAAATTCCCACATCCGTTCGCGGGTTTGGATTTCAGATATGACTTCAGATTCAGAAACTAGAATAAATGAACAATTTTTTGGTATATAGGATTATATTTTTAACTTACCCGGTCATAAAGAAATTTAATGTTGAATATTGACAAGAATATT